ATCGCTTGAAGAACCTTTTGAAGCAACTTTATTTTTAAGAGTGTATGACTCACATGTTTTAGTTGCAAACATTAAGCACTGAACCTTCACACTGTCTAAACTGAAATTAATAAATTTTATTAATTTACGATTATTGACTTTCGCTTTCTCATAACTTCATTCAGAACTCACAGGCTTGGGAGTTTATTTCACAGTGCTGTAGATCACTTCACCTTCTGAATTCACTGATGATGAAGGCTGTGAATAAACAAGATCAGCTCTGAGAATCTCATTTCTGCATCACAACCCTTAGTGTGTAATTTCAGTGCCACAAGTGTCGCATAATGGATATGCAAAAATAGTGATAATTTACAAACAAATTTCCCTTTTTAACTAGACAAACATACAACCCCTGCCAAAACTGCACATCACTTTTACAAAAATCTCAAGAGGAGACACTTACTGCTTTACGAAAGGTAATCACAGAACTGTAAATCACTGAATTATCATCCACTGAGGCAGAGGACTGTGAATAAACACACATGACGATCATTCATTTGCAATCAGCATCTCTGTAAATGTTAATTAGTTTTGGGTGAATGTGTTCTTCTCTGAAGACTTCTGAATTGCATCAGTATGTTAATAAAATCCTAAAATACTTACTGTATTTCTGGTGCTGTTCAAATGCCCTTCTCTAATTTGACCCCTCTCTGTCAAAGTGAGATATGAAGATTAAATCCCATAATATTTTACACTATTAATATCCATTGAATCTTTCCATTCCACAAAAAGTTCTTTCTAGTGAAAAAATGTTCTGTAGATGTGTATGTTCTTCACACGAAGAAAAAAAGGTTCTTCTAAGAACTGTTCACTGATAGGTTATTTGTGGAACCAAAATTAGACTTAACAGGGGTTTTTGAATAAAATACACAAATTGTATAAAATACTATTTATTTTATACAGCCCTCTGGAATGCTTGATTCTGATTGGTCAATCTAATCATTCTGTGGTCAAATGTGTTTGCATCAAGACGATAAGCGTTATATTTGACCGATTTTGTCCCACCCGGTCTCATGAAAGTGCGTATAAATAGTACGCCAAATAAAAA